TAGGTTCAGATCTTTTTAAAATAAATCTCTTTCTTGTCATTTTCATTCAACTTGAAAAATTAAACTCATGTGTTTAAATCGCCATTCTTTATTTGAAGGCCACTATTCTTTCTCCACTTTCAAACTTTATAAATAAATGGTATACAGTATGAAATCTTCTGTAATTTACTTTTTTTTCCCCCCTCAATATCATGTTTCTGAGATTTAACCACGTTGATACACACAGCTGTAGTTCATTCTTTTTTTTGGTGTTGCTGGGGATTGAACCCAGGTCCTTGCTAATACTAGGCAAGCACTCTACCAAATGAGTGACATCCCCACCAGTTCATTCATTTTTTTTTTTTTTTTTTGGTGGGGGTGGTATACCAGAGCTTGAACTCAGGGGTATTCCACCACTGAGCCACACCCCAGCCAAATTTTCTATTTTATTTAGAGACAGGGTCTCATTGAGTTGCTTATATCCTCTCTAAGTTGCTGAGGCTGGCTTTGAACTCCTGCCTCAGCCTCCCCAGCTGCTGGGATTACAGGCATGTGCCAGGGCCCCAGCTCACTTTATTCATTTTAAATGAATAATGTTATATCCCAGGATATGAACATGCTGCAATTTTCTGATCAGTTTGCACTGCATTCCTAAAAATGATATTGTGAGGTTTTGGGTGGAGGTATAGGGCCCATTTTTTCCACGAGAACATACATTCCATCTTTGTAATTTAAGTCAATAGGAAAGCAGAATTTTACACACACATAATATCAGTCTTAAGACATTTTAATCCTGTAACTTACAAACTAAAATAAGCCTAATAATACGGAGCACAGAAAACTCAATAAATGTCAGTTACTTGGTGACAACACTGAAATAACCCTTACAATTCAGAAAAAGATTCCTCTCTGAATGTTAAATTGCAAGATTGACATACTATAGACTAGAGCAGAGATATGAAAAGAGTAAACTAAGAGAATAGCTGCAGGGCTGGCAGCATTTGACCATAATATAACTACTATCATAGTGGAAAAAAAAAGTCAGTCAGAATGGGGAAGCAAAGAAAAAAGGAGAACTAGAGACAAATGCTGATAATCCATAAAAACAATGTCCCTGGGAGCAGAAGCCTTAAACAAGCACCTGGTATTTCTTTCTATTCTATTTCACATCTAGCTATTCCTAGTATGGAGAGAGATATCTGGAAGTGTAGCCAATGCTATTTCCACCACTATGGGTTAAACTATCTCTGATGTGAGATTGTTTCAACCGGCATGGTGAGCATGATACGATTAAACTTTTTACTTCACTTTCTTCCTTCCTTTCTTTTTTTGGGGAATGGGGGTTGGGTACCGGGGATTGAATCCAGAGTTGCTTTTCCACTAAGCTACATTCCAGCCTTTTTAAAATTTTGAGACAGGGTCTCACTAAGTTGCTTAGGTGTTGCTCTAAGTTTCAGAGGCTGGCCTTGAACTGGCAATCTTCCTGCCTCAGCCTCCTGAATAGCTGGGATTACAGGTGTTCACCACTGTGCCAGGTAATTCCCCTTACTCTAATTTAATACTCCCTAAGCAATCTACTATGCTTTTCTCTTTACCAGTTTCAGTTCTTTCTTTAAATCAGCATATTGGAATTCTAGCAACCATTTGAAATTCACATGCATTTTAGTACCTATGATCACATCTTTTTGAGCCAAATCATCTTGGACTTGGTCAAAATTGAGTCCATATTTGAGAATATGGTCAAATAAACAAGCACATGATGTGTGGTCTACCCAATTACCCCAACCTTTCCTTAGAACATTAACACCAACTCTATTCTAGTTTCTTGAATTTCTTCTTCTCCTTTTATGTAGTATGTATATTAAAAACAAAGCAGGCAGAGTTCAAATATTGCAGGTTTCCCTCTATTGTTTGTAAAACTATTACTAGGAATATATTCTTCTGATGCTCCTTATTATAATGGCTACTAACTTTTAGCCACAGTGTACAGGTAATATGGGTGGAAGTTAATCTGGGGTTAGAAATTTGAAAAAGAATAGAACTCTCAAATGATTTTGAACACTAACCAGTTTTAACAGGTTTACAAGAATGAGAGTTTTTTTCCAATGAATGAATATAAGAATTAAACCAGACAATTGCTAAGATCACAAAGAGACAACCAGACATGATGTCTTACCAAATATTTCCTACATTCTTGACAAAAATAACAAACAGGAATATCTAGCTTCTGGATTAGACTATCTCTGTTGTGATACTTCTGGAAGAAAGATGACTCAGGAACATGTTGAGTTGTTCCAAGAACATAAGATCAATAATCAGACTTTGGCAAACTCTATAGGACAAATGGGCTGAATTTTTCAACATATAATTTGTAAGGATATAAAAGAAATGGAAGCAGAAACTATAAACTGAAAGAAATTTAAAATAAGTAGGGAGTTTTCAAAAAATGGTCAAGTACATATAATGTACTTCTGTGCAATAAAACTATTTAAAATGTGAGGAAATATTACTAGAAAAGTCAAGTTCAGGGTTGCTTTTATGGGGAGGAAGAACTTGTAATTGGGATGAGGCACATGGTTCTGGAGCTGGCAAAATTATTTTTCTCAACTTGGTGGGACTTGCCTTATAATAATTCATTAGATGGATTCACTTCTTTCTTGTGTTTTTATTTTTTTTGGTATACATGGTTACATGGTTTATTTTACATTAAAAGTTTTTTTCCTCTTAATATCTTGGAAGCAGCTGGGGAAAGCAAGGAGCAGGTGAATCTGTGTGGTGTGGGAAAGTCAGCACAACTCACTTCAAGTAGAGAAGGGACTGTCTTTCATATACAGGAAGACTTTAGTTGAGGTTATGTGGTATAGAAAGTTTCTAGGAAAATATTCATAGTGAATGATAATTTGCTAACAAAAAATTAGAAATTCTCCTTCCTCCTGACCCTCTAAAGAACAACGTGATTAATAATAGTACATTAGAAGGGAGGTAACATGAGAAAGCTCATTTTGGATAATCAAGAAGGATAACAATGAATGTCATGAATGGAATGACTTGGTCTCATTGTTCTGACTGGAGTTCATTTGTAGTACTGGAATTACCTAAAATTTACAGGGGTGGTACCTGAGGCTTGATTATTGTAGAAGCTTCTATATAGTTACTTTGCATATCAATATTTCCATGGAAAAAGGTTTTCAAAGTTCTGGGGTAGGGGAAGCACCTTTAACTTTGAGAACAATAGTTCTTATGTTCAAGAGAAAGGGAATCAGAAGAGCTGCTCTATCCATTCTACTGCTGTCAACCTTTAAGGATACTTCTGAATCTTAGATCACATCAACTTCGTCCAAAAAAAAATCCCTTGGGTTCCAAAGCTTAATGATAGTGAAAAGAAGGATGTGAGAAAAGAAGGTCAAGGCAAAAGCAACATACAAAGTTAGAAATGTGCCAAGAGATGTGTTCATTCAGATACTGGCCAAATGAATACTGACAGGGTCAATATAGGAGGAATGAGTGTTTTAGTCAGCTTTTTCATTGCTGTGGCTAGAAGACCTACCAAGACAATTTTAGAAGAGTTAAAGTTTATTTGGGGACTCATGGTTTCAGAGGGTTTCAGTCTACAGATAGCCAGTTTCCTTCCTTGGGGCTCAAGATGAGGCTGAACATCATGATGGAAGAGTGTGGTAAAGGGAAGCAGCTCACATGAAGATCAGAAAGTAGACAAAGACTCCACTTGCCAGATACAAAATACAGAACATCAAAGGCATATCCCCAGTGATCCACCTCCTCCAGCCACACCCTACCCACCATCAGTTTTCACTCAGTTAATCCCATTGGGATTAGTTCACTGATTGGGTTAAGGTTCTCATAACCCATTACACCTCTGAATGTTCTTACATTGTCTCACACATGAGCTTTTGGGGAATACCTAATATCTAAACCATAACAATGAGCATGTAAGGGCAGAAATGCCAAGTAATGAGTCATCACTCACCAAGTCGCCACTCTAACACCCCGGCCTGCTAAAGTCCATTTATGTTGTCATTAGGGTTTCCAGGTGTGAGGGAGGGGTGAGGAGAGTGGAGGAGGGGAGTCTTAGTAGACAAAGGGGAATGTCTCTAGGTAGAAAGTCATACTAACGAACTTGGACACTCATTTTATGAAATACATTTATTTCTTACAAAATAACTTTAGAACTCTTAATGTTATTGTTTCAAAATAAAAATGATGAAAAACTCATGTTTTTGAAATATACAACATAGAATTTTATGCTTTTTATTATTTTTTTTACCACCAAACTATATTTTTAAAGTTTTAAATGAAATACAACTCAACTATTAAGTTGAGTATTATGTGTCACATGCTAGCTGTATGTTTTGAAATTTCTTTGGCTTTATGAAAGAGTTCAATGGGCTGGGGCTGGGGCTCAGTGGTACAGCACTTGCCTTGCACACTGAGGCACTGGTTTGATTCTTAGCACTGCATATAAATAAACAAATAAAATAAAGGTCCATCAGCAACTAAAAAATGTTAAAAGAAGTCTTAAAGATTTATGATAAGAGTTCAATATATAAAATTAAGGACAATATAAAGGCATGATTTGGATGAGACATGGAGATTCAGTGTTTCCCAAATTTTTCAGTTGAAACATGCCTATCAGCGGAGAACTCATTGGGTCCAGGGAAAATAACTTGATTAAAGTCCAAACTTCCTATAGAGTGTTTTTTTATATTGCTTTAAATTTTTACTATTTCATTTTTAAAATTTATAAGAATTTTGTTATATTCCATAAAATGTACATTCATCTTATCCTACATTTTATTAACAATATTAGCTAAATACATTGTATAAATATTTGTTATTATAAACTATTTTAAATTATTTTCTATGGAGCAAAATGAACACTCTGGGAAGATGCATTACAGCTGTTTTTTTCTGAGGCTTCATATATACTTGAGAATATAAACCTCCAGTTTGGAAATATGGACTTATAAACACGTTATTTGAATATTTTCCTGGGGTATTCTTACCTCCATTGTAGGTGGAACCTTTCTTGTTCGTCTAATCCAAGCTAGAAAAAAAAAAAATTTAAATGTTAGTTCTCATACTTTACACATTTTATTCACTCATACATGAGAAGTATTTTTTGAGCACCTACTATATATTGTTATAAAATTAGGGATACAGCAGGGAAAGAGCAAATGGAAGTCCCTCTTCTTCTGAGGCATATATACTAGTTGAAGATTGTTCAAAAAATAAACACAAAACATAAAATATCAGGTGGTGATTTGTGTCACATGAAACAAATACAACTGTGTAGGGAAGATCAAGAAAGGACAGTTTCACATTTTTAAAAATTATACCTCATTATCACCTGAATTCAATTTAGTGTATTTATGAAATACAGGCCAAATAACAATATACTAAACTTCAAGGCAATATCAAAATTATATTATTCTAGAAATTTGAATTAGTTTTCAAATGATCGAAGAAGGGACTTGGAAAAGTTTCTATTACAACAATTTCTCTTCTGATCTGTTCCAGCAAGCAGCTACTTCTTATGGTTAGGAAGCAACATCAGGCCTTAGCTCTCAACATTTAGGAGACAAGCTGCAGAGGTAGAGAACAGTCCATTTGTTAAGTACCTGTTGGATACTGTGCCCTGTGCTAAATGTTTTATAGCAAAGGAAGGGAGGCAGACAGCTGCCTCTGAGGAAGTTATCAGAATCATGTGGAAGACAGCACAGTGCTGTCCTAGAGTCAGATTTTCTGGATTCAAATATCAACTTAACATTGCTGTTTTACCTGGGGTAAGATAATTAATTTCTAAGCATCAGACTTTCTATCTGTAAAACAGAAATTATCATAGTATCTATACTCTGGGCTTTTGTGAAAATTATATAATATAAATGGTTAGTTTAGATCCTGGCATGTAAGAATAAGCAAGGAAGTCTAAGTTATTATTAGTATTATCTCTATTATTCAATACACCTACATGTCTTATAAAATACTCATAAAAGCAAAGATCAATAATATCTGCTTGCAGCAAGGGGCAGTGGTGCACACCAGTAATCCCAATGACTTGGGAAGCTGAGGCAAGAAGGATCACAAATTCAAGGACAGCCTGAGCAACTTGATGAGACCCTGTCTAAAAACAGGGATGGGGGGATGTGCTGGGAAGGTAGCTCAGTGGTAAATAACCTTGGGTTAAATTCCCCCATACTGCAAAAAATAAAACAAACAAAAATTGTTATCTGCTTGGTCTATGAGAACATATAGGAGTTTGACAAAACATACTGTAGGCAATAAGACCGATAGAAAGTAGGAAACATTTGTTTTATCATTTTAGTTGACTTAATCTTCATTACAAAATTATTTCACAGAGTAATTAAACAACCTTTCCAGAATTTGAATCCAGATCTGACCCTGTCTAAAAACTATCCGTGCTCTACTAAGCAGTCTCTCAAACTTTAGTGTGCAACCTGCAAAGAGCTTGGAAGAATAATAGGTGTGACATTAACTATACGTCAGAAAATAAGAATTACTGACCACATTTTACAGATTTGGAAACTGAGGCACAGATAGATCAAGCAACTTGCTATGGCTATATATACATACATTTAGTGAGTAGCAGACTAGAACTCAAACCCTGACTGAATTGGCTCTAATGTCTGAGCCCTGTCCATTTACCAGTCACTTTTTCTTCAGACCAGCTTTACCAGTCTGCCTTTTATCATTTAAGTAATGGAACCTATTTTCACAGAACCTATTCTTGTGAAAAGCCTAGCACTAAATGGTTATAGGTACAAAAACAACAACACTCAACTGTGATTCTGGAATTAATTATTTATCCCTGCTCTGCTCTCTTGCCTGGGTCCCATACATGTATTTCCAATATGGTTCTAATGTTCCGTATTCTCTACTCTACTTCTGAACTTCTATTCCTGTTATTCTTTTCTGCATTTTTTTCTCATTACCTTTCAGTACTATTTGGTTCATTTCTAGACAAAACTTGAAGAGATTTTATATCCCTTCTTAAGCTATAGGGTTGACAAGGGAAGGATGAATCCATGGGAGATTTATTTTCTACCACCTAAATACCTTGAAAGAGTAAGCACTTAATAATATAGTTGTTGACTACTTCCATTATAAAAATATTTGTTGTAATAGGATTTTGACCTGTATTAGGAAATCTGGCTGAGAAACACAAACATTCCTCTGTCTAGTCCAAAATAAATGATTTATGAAACTTTTCAGTTGCTTCTTTGTAGTCAGAATAAGTTGATTATCTCTGTGGTGATTTTTTTCTAGAAAAGAGGCTTTAAAAATAATTTAGTATGAATCATATCTCTAAAAAATAAGCAATAAATCTTCCGTTTTCATTTAGATTAGAAAGTTAATTCCGAACAATCGACTGCTGGGCAGGGTTCAGTAAACTTTAGTCTACAAAACAAATACAGTATACTGCTTGCTTTTACATTTTTAAAACATTGGTTAAAAAAAAAAAGAGTTCAAAAGGACATCATTTCCTGACACATGAAAATTATATAGAATTCAAAACTTGAGTGTCTATGAGGTTTTACTGAAACACAGACATACTCCTTTGTATTAATAGCTGGTATGTACTACAACCACAGAGCTGAGTAGTTGTAACAGATCAACTGACTCACAAATCCTAAACTCTTTACCTTCTGGACCATCAAAGAAAAAGTTTGCCAAACCCAGTACTAGAGCTATCCTAAAGTATGACCTCTTTAGCAATGACTATATATCTTGGTCTGAAAATACTTCAATTATCTAAAATAACGATCATTATCAGGCACTACATTTTTTGTAAACTAATGACTACCTTGTATTCTAGAGTCTTTAAATATATGCCAGTGGGTATACGATCAAGATAGTACACTGGCTTAATGCATACATACTATTATTATGAAAAAGTCCTTCAAAATTAATGTGTCTTAATAATTAGTCTATAAAACATAATTTTAATTATCTTGTAAGGTTCAATACAGGAAAAAAAATTGAATCCAAATCATGGGGAAATTGATACTAAATACCATCTGCTCCCTAAGGAAAGACATTGGAGCTTCCTTTAGCTTCACTTTAAATTATCATTTAAAGGATCTTTGGTTTATCTAGATATATAAAGGCAACAGCTGAAATAAGTTTGTATATTTATGATTCTCCAATAACCAGGCATTTGAAATGTCTTGAGATGACCATTGATGTCTAGTACTGTTTGTTATGTATTTAGTAAAGGTTACAGCTGGATATATTCAATGTAATCACTCATTTATATAATCATACCCACTTTCCCAACTACTCCAAACAACATATTAAATGTCCTCCTGAAGACTGGCAGAAGTTAGGAGGAAGATGGAACAGAAGAAAACATTAATATTAGATCACTACCTTTTAAAGCTTCAAAACAATCTGTTATATAATGATTTTGCTATTGCTAATTATATCTTTAAGATCAATCCTTTATCAGTCCTCATTATAATACAATCCTGTGTGAAGTGAATTTAGCAAGATAACTGGACACTTTATGCCTTATGATTCTCACATTCTTTCATCAGTCTTCTTTTGCATTCTCATCAGTATGCATGGGATTTTCATTGAACTTTAATATTCCTATTTGAACATAACAAACCATAATGAGTATAAAAGTGTATGTGCAAATTAAAGCTCCCATTAATCACTGAGAGACTGTAAGAAGGCATGAAAATACTTGATGAAGTGTACATTCTTCAAGTCTCCATAGGTTCTATAAATGTCCAATATATTTTTAGAAGCATTGCCAATAGGTTAAATGAGATATCATACCACCAGATTCAGTACTTGATCATGCAGAAGCAAAATTATGGAAAAGTTACCAATAGTGTGCATCCAAACTTCACTTTAGGAAGAGACTAAAATAAAGCCTCATCTTTTAAAGTATGATCTTGCCATTTCTGACTGCTGACCTTTATAAAGAACAACATGGAGACAGAACATGGCAGAGAGAGGAAAACTGCATTCCAAGCTGCACTGTGGCTCAGGAGCAAAGCAGTGGATGTATAGCTTCTCAGCATGGTGGGTAAAAGAGGGATTTCACTACAATTTAATAATGGACACTCAAAGTGGCTTAGGGACTCAGAAATGTAGGTACAATAAATAAAGAGTAAAGAAAACATCAAAGACAATCAAGTGTACCTGGATGGCCGATTTGGACTCATCACAGGAAGAAGGAGGGAAATCACAGTCTTGGTAGGAACAAATGTAAGGTCAAAAAATGCTGCCCACAAAAGAAACAACCAATGAAGTGGAGAGAGCGCCTACAGAATGGGAGCAAATTTTTACCACATGCACATCAGATAGAGCACTAATCTCCAGGATATATGAAGAGCTCAAAAAAATTAACACCAAAAAATAAACAAATAAATAATCCAATCAATAAATGGGCTAAGGAAATGAGCAGACACTTCACAGAAGACAATATAAAATCAATCAACAAATTTATGAAAAAAATGTTCAACATCTCTAGCAATTAGAAAAATGCAAATCAAAATTACTCTAAGATTTTCCCTCACTCCAGTCAGAATGGCAATTATCAGAAAAAATCAAGCAACAATAAGTACTGGTGAGGGTGTGAGAAAAAAGGTACACTGATTCATTGCTGGTGGGATTGCAAAGTGGTACAACCACTTTGGGCAAAGCAGTATGGAGACTTGGACTGGAACCACCATTTGACCCAGCTATCCCACTCCTAGGTCTATATGCAAAGGACTTAAAAGCAGCACATTACAATGATGCAGCAACCTCAATGTTTATAGCAGGTCAATTCACAATTGCTAAACTATGGAAAAAGCCTAGGTGCCCTTCAATAGATGAGTGGATAAAGAAACTGTGATACACACACACACACACACATACACACACACACACATTGGAATATTACTCAGCCTTAAAGAAGAACGAAATTATGGCATTTATGGGTAAATGGATGGAGTCGGAGAATATCATGCTAAGCAAAGTAAGCCAATCCCAGAAAACCAAATGCCAAATGGCTTCTCTGGTAAGTGGATG